TTGACTTAATGAATTGGCTGATGTTTTATGCAGCCTGCAAGAAGCCCTCACTTGCTCCTTTCCTGCTAGGACCCTAAAGGAGCTCATATTGCCAATTGCTGTTGAATTTTGTTTTGTTCTGAGACAGGCTGTCAGGTAACCCGGCTGGCCTTCTGCTCCCTATGAAGATGGCAATGACCTTAACTTCTGATCATCCTGCCCCGACCTCCTGAGCGCATGGGTTCCTGTCACCACACTTGTTCATTTCATGCTAGGGATTGAACCTAGGACTTCCCTGAGGCAAGAACTTGATCAACTCAGGCTCCATCCTCTCTACCCATGAAGTTGAATTTTTAACAGGATAGCTGGAGATCTGTTCTCTCTCTGAACAAGCTCCAACATAAGGGCCAGGGAGACTGGTCATCTGGGAGTCTGGAACAAACCCAGTTTTTATAGTACATTCACAGTAAGTTTGTTCATCCACACTGGCTGTTCGTACATGGTCGGGCATGATCTACAGCAGTGCTGTCAAGTGAGTGGAATCCACTTCATGTTGTATTTCATGTCAGCACTTAATCATTACTGATTGGAACCATTAGCTTTCTCAAGCCCAACCTAAAAATTCTATCTTACAGATTGGTTTTTGCTGTAGTCCAAGCCATGTACCATCACTTTAAATTAAAATACTTTGCTAATATTTTCTTCATTAAAAAAATTTTATGAGAAGTTGGAAAGTAAACTAAGGAAGCTATGCTTAGCATCACTGCCTAGGAAATACTTTGTGAATAAAAAATTTTCCTTGAGATACTTAAGCTGTTAGGAAAATACTATAAAAGTTTTAAACTTAGTCCCCAGGATCCACAGGTGTGCTCTGATCACCTGTGTGGGCAGGTACATACACACACACACACACACACACACACACACACACACACAGACAGACAAAAGCACCATAGCTCAAGACCCACACGTGTCCTATGTTCGTGGTGTTCCCATACATCTATGTGGGTGTGCACATACACACACACACACACACACACACACACACACACGCATGCACAGGCACACACAAGCAAAATTTGAACACCGTAGCTACTAAGCTGTCTGATGTGCTAGGATCCATGGATTTCTGGAAACTTCCTGATTTTCTTGAGTTGATGACTACTGTTGGGATTGCTAATGTCCTTCCCTGAGTTTCTGCAGAAGTATCCTAACTATAATTCCTCTTTCAGGTACATCTGCACATCAGAGAGCCTTTGGTTCCAGTATCTTGGGATCACTTGTAATCCCTTGGTTGTTCTGCCTCTCTCAGAACTCAGGCTCACAGGCAAATGTTCTGTTGGTACTTCCCCACTGCCATGACACCAGAATTCCCTTTCTTTTATTTTCTTTTTTCTTTTCCTCCTTATTTTCCATGCTATAGCTGCTCTACAATGGGGGTAAAGCTATATCCAACACAGAGGTAACAAAATGGATTGATGCAGCCTGGCTGGAGCCTGGCGTCTCCTGTAAATGGAAAGGTAACAAGAGCCAAGCCTCACTTTTTCTGTTTTGTTTTGTTTCGATGGGTAAGTGTCCCCAGAAAGACTGCCCAGGCTCCCTGAGGGCACTGTTCCTGTGTCTAGGGTGACATCCAAGCAACAGCAGGTTCCTTCCAAGCTTTGCTGCCCTTAGAAAAGCCATGACTCTTCTCTCTTTAGGGAAGGAGCTACTCCTTTGACATGTTCTCTACCTCTAGTTCCCTTGTCCCCACATTCCCCAGCTTTAGGGACTCTACAAAATGATTAAATATTACTGTCAACTTCTTCCTCCAGATTCATAAGAATTTCAGCCCTCCTCATTCAACCACCATTTTTTGGCTGCTCTGTGTTTTCCAGAGTTTAGTTATACCGTCTCCTCTGTGAACTTTTTCCCCCTTCCAGTCTCTGTTGGCACTAAAAATGTGGTTACTTTGCTGCACCAGTCATTTTTCAGCTGCATTTTCTTCACAGTATATAGCAGTCATCTTCACTTGCATTTAATAACAGCACCACTCTCTAGCTTCCCTTAATGCAGCCAAATTGCCTCACACTGCCCACGAGAATTATTAAAATGTGTGTAACATTAAGAGAATTAGATGGAGGGATGGAGGGATGACTCGGTGGTTAAGAGCACTGCCTGCTCTTCTAGAGGACTGGGGTTTAGTCCTGGCACCCACATGACAGTTCACAACTGTCCATAGCTGTAGTCCCATGGGAGCCAATGGCAGATGTACATGCAGACAAAACACCCAGATGTATGTGTATATAAATAAATAAATGATGAATAAATTTTTAAAAGGAAGAAGAGACTTGGTATGAAGTAGTATAGTGTCAACTATATAGCCTTCCATGGTGGGACATCATCTAGGTATATCTAAGAATAAAGCAAGAAAATGGTTCCTCCGTTAAGTTCAGTCAACAAAGCTTGGACATTATGAGTGATAATCAAATGTCAACACTGTCATTTCTGTTACCTACCGTATCTGATGTCTAATGTGGTAGTGTTGGTTGCAGGATGTTGAGCTTTCATTGAGGTGGGTCCTGGAGATAACTTCCCCTCCCAAGTCTTATGTACACATAGGATTTGATCCCTTTCATGCAACCCCACTCCTTGTTGTATTTAGTTTCTTAGTTATTTTTTGTCTTACTCTGAATTTTATGGGAAATACATGGGGTTGGATAAGATCATTTCACAAGCCTACCTGGAACCCTACAGATTTCCTCTATTTTGAATATTGTACTGAGCCAAAGAAAGAGATTTGTCTATAAAAATCGATAAAGTACAATGTGTTTCCTATATTTCTGGTTCTGTGATTTCCACCTCCATGCAGTATTTATTCTTAAAGAATTTGAATTTGTCTATTTTCTTAGCAAAGTCATACTGTAACTGCCTTACAGTTTTGTTTTCTTAACATTTAGGAAGGAATAAAGTCAGGGAACATGAATTTTCTCCACCAAGTTGTTTAGGTTCAGCTGACATTTTAATGTGGGTTGAATTTGAACTTGAGTGCCACACACATTTCTACAGCTGACTTCTGGCCTCTCACTGGTGTGCCACATTTCCCACCACAGGGTTCTACCATTACCACATGTTGACATGAACCTGATGTCAAAACTCCATTTTATCTCCTGGGCTGATTCTGTGAGGTCATTGAGACCCACAGTGTTGATAGTGTATCTCGAAAGGGTAGATAGCAAAGGACAGCTGATAGCAGTAAGGGGAACACTGTGTAATATGAATGTTTTTAACCAGTTATTATTGAACTTATTAAGATCCTTCTTCTCCCTCCTCTCCCCTTATCATCCTTCTCTCCAGTGCCATTTAGGCAGTAAAAGTTAGGAGAAAACAAAAAAGGGAGTTAAATGACAAAATGTCAGTGACCACAGGGATCTAATTGAACATGTAGTATTTTTCCTTGAGCTGGGTTCCTATGAACTCAACTTGCTGTTTTCCCATGTTTTTTTTTTTTTAACATACTAATCCCAGTTCCCCCTCTCTCCCCTCCTCCGGTCTCCCTACCTTCCCCTCATCCCACCCCACCACCTTGGCTCCTCAGTGAGGGTAAGGCCTCCCATGGGGAGTCAAGTCTTTCCCATCACCACTTTGAGGCAGGGCCCTGAGTCTAGGCTGAACAAAGTGTCTCTCCATAGGAAAATGACTATTTTCACATTCTTAATAGGGACATGCTTTCCCATGTTGTTCTCTGCTTTGTTGACTTGAGCTCAGCACCCACATAGCTGCTCCTCATGTCTTGTAGGCATGATTGCTGACTCTCAGGTCCTGTTTTGTTTTGTTTTTGTTTGTTTTGTTTTGTTTTGTTTTGTTTTTGTTTTTGTTTTTTACCATGTGCTGGGCCATCTCTCACAATCCTCCCCACCACGCCCAGCCCAGCCCCGCCCAGCCCAGCCCCATACATGCACCTCACCCCACTTCTGCCCAGTCCAGCTCCATGCATGAGCCTCACCCACTTCCCACAGCTTCTGCCCACTCCAAATCAGTTCCTTATGCATGCAGAGCGTGCACTTCACCATCTGAGTCCTCTTCCCGGCCCTCACTTCATTATTTTAATTCATAAAATCATAGGATATTTATGGAAGATTCTAAAGGACAATGAATTAAAAACTTATATTCCTAACACACAGCATTTCATATAAAAGCAGGATAGTGTTTAAATACTGTGTTAGTATTGTCAATGGGATATGAAATCACCTAGGAGGCCAACTTTCAGGCACACTTGTGAGGATTTTCATATTTAGAGAAGTCTCTGCCCATACCTGTGTGAGATGTTCTAAATCGAGTTTACTGAGGTGACCAAACCCATCCTAACCTAGGGCAGCACTGTACCCTAAGCTTGAGTCCCATAATGCATAAAAAGGAGAAGCAAGCTAAGATCAGGCACTCAGCACTCATCTCTTTCTGCTCCCTGACTTTGGATGCAGAATGACCACTGCTTTAAGCTACTACCTTGATTTCCCTGCCCTGAAGGTCTGTGCCCTGGAACTGTGAGCCTCAGTGTGTCTGTTGCTGGGTACTGGCCTCCATTTCCAACCATAGTGAGATGATTTTCTTTTTCTTTCTTTCTTAGTTTTTTTGTTTGTTTGTTTGTTTGTTTTTGTTTTTTTGTTTTTTTGTTTTTCGAGACAGGGTTTCTCTATGTAGCTTTGGAGCCTATCCTGGCACTCGCTCTGGAGACCAGGCTGGTCTTGAACTCACAGAGATCTGCCTGCCTTTGCCTCCCGAGTGCTGGGATTAAAGGCGTGCGACACCAACGCCTGGCGAGATGTTTTTCTTAACAATATGTTTGTTAATGACTGTAGCAGGTAGCATGAGGCTTCCCAAAGTGTCTCGGAGTTTGGGTGGCTGGTTTCAGACCTGCAGTGTTCATCTTTGCAAGGATTTTAGGGACTTTGTTTTTGTCCTAATCAAAGTGACTTTGGCCTGCTGCCCAACAGTCTAATCAACCTGTGACTGATGTTCTCTGTGTGTTGTGTCCCTCTTAGGTGCTGTGGTCTTTAGAATTGGGTCACTGGATTTCTGAGGAACCTTTTGAACTCTCTGAGTCCTTCCCTGCTGCTCCGGTAAGTCAGCACTGTCTGGTGGTGGTAAATGCAATGTAGTGACCTTGGGAAACTGTTGCAAGCATAAACTCCATGTCTTAGGTTAAGAGTGGTCTCTCTCAGACTAAAAGGATGTCTCCCTAAAAATGGCTGCCTTCTGTTCATTGACTTGGGGGATCACATGTGAAAACTTGAGGAAGGACACTTGTAAAGTGCAATGAGAAATGTCGCCTTGAGAAGTTTTGCTTAAGTCAGGCAGTCCAGCATTCAGGAAACTGAACTGAGTGGATTGCTGCAAGTTTGATGCTGACCTGAGCTATAGGGTGAGACCTTTTCTCAATAATAATAATAATAATAATAATAATAATAATAATAATGAAAGCCTGTAGGGCTGTAGAAAAACAGAAATATTAACAAGAAAAGACAGCTCTTAAAAGTAATGCTAATACAGATAAAATTGATAGGTCTAAAAACCATGGCCAGGCAGCGTTGTGATGTGGTTTTTATATTTTGATGTTTGTCCTAATCTCCACCTTTAAGGACTCTTAAGTATTTCTTTTCTTTTCTTTACTTTTTTTTTATTTAGAAACAATCATTGTACATATCAAGACATCTTAAATATTTACTGAGTAAATTCTGACTTCTCAGATAATTAAGGTTTGACTGGAAACAGGGTTATGCAGAAGTTGGCTTTCCAAACATGTTGTCTGGTTTGGGATCGTTTATTGTTTGAAAAGATGAGTCTCTGAAAGGCAGTGGCCGTCCTGGCTGTCCCTGGTGCTCTTACATAGCTGTCCAAGTGGCCCTGTGCCGGGGACCCAGCAGGAAGCTGAACTCTGCCCCCTAATCGCTCAGTCATCTAGCTCATTGCATTGTTTTGTTTTCATTTTTAAGATTACTGTTTTGATTTCCTTTCAACTTTGTAAATGTTTTCTTAAGAACAGAAAAAAAAAATTCTTCCCAGTAAGTTTGTTTGTTTAAAATACTGTGTAAGGAGCTGAAGTATAAAGTGAAGACCTGAATTCCTCCCATTCTCTGACCTAAGAGTGTATGTAATTCTGAGTCGCACAGGAGGTTTGCCTTTGAAATTCATTTTCCTGAGTCTGTGGATTGACCAGAGCACGGAGCAGTGTGTGAAGGTTTCTAACACCAAGGCTATGTGAAAGAAAATGGGTCAGAGCAGTAGTTCTCAACCTGTGCGTCATGATCCCTTGGGAGTTACCATATCAGATCTCCTGCATATCAGATATTTCCATTAGAGTTCATAACTGTAGCAAAATTACAGTTATGAAGTAGCAACAAAATAATTTCAGGTTGGGGCGTCGTCACCAAAATATAAGGAACTGCATTAGGAAGGTTGAGAACCACCAGGTTAGAGAAATAAACAAAACAAAATCAACGTCTGGGTGCAAAGAAGGGCAAATGGACGGGTAGGAAAGGCTACATGAGAAATTGCATCTAACTGCATTGTACAGGTGTCCATTGACACAGCTGGCTCTCTGCAAGCTCCCAAGACGTTAGAACAGGAGGAATTAAGGTTTAACAGTCCCAAGCATAAAGCTATGGTCTGAAACGTTCTAGAAGCATCTGGTGATATTATGAGCAGGACATTTTTTACTTTACGTTCTAAAACACTTGATCAGTTTGCTAGTGAAGATAAAAATGTTACCAAGACCAATTATTTTTTTCTATAAGTTAATTCAGAGAATTACTGCTTTGTAGATGTCATAAGTGGGATGGTTTTTCTCAACCACAAACAAGTTTTAGTTCTATTTTCTAAAACATGTCTTACTCAACTAGGGAGCAGCTCTTTGGGAAAAAAACACTAACTCAATGGTGAAGTATCTTCATCATGAATCAGCATTTTCTTCATTAAAAACAACCTTCCTTGTCATGAGACACAGGGTTGTTTTGTATGAGACTAAAAAACAAGATTGTAAATGTTATCATAAAAATTAAATGTAATCACAACTAATAAGTTATATTTAATTACTAAAAACACCTTCATATTTAACAGCCAGGCAGAAAACAAAATAGTACAGTCTCCACATACACCAATGTGGCACCCACTTGTTGGTAATTCCAGAGATGTGGGCATTTTCATCATACAGGAAATAGTATCCAGCCATTAAAAGACTAAGCCGTCGAGATAGGAAAATGTGTTGTTTCCAAATGAAACTGTAAAGCACCTAAGAGGAAAACAATGCACTGTGCTTCTCCAGAAATTAACCTATAACCAACACTTAGACTACTCGCTGCTGTAATGAGGGGCGCAGTCTTGTCATAGTGACGGCTGTGCTGCGTATTTATACATTCTATAAACCGTGCTTAGGGGACTGTGCTTCCAAGATTATCTCCTCTGTCTCAGTGTTCTGATTTCCAGTTATTGACTGATGAATTCTGACATAACGCTCTCCCTTGTAGCAGAGTCTGCATGCTGCCCCTCAGATTCTCAGCGTCAGTGTCACCTTCCCACAGGTGTTTCTCCAGACCACAGTGCCTTTGGATTTCCTTGGGTTGGTTACTGGTGCAGGCTTAAGTGATATGCTTCTGTCTGGCACACAGAACTCCTCCCCTCCCCCAGGAGCACCTCTGGATGAGGAAAGGGCTGCTGCTATGCATAGGCATCTCTCAGTGCTTTGGGTTAATCTTTGGACATAGTAGGATCTTCTGGTAGCATAGGAGGCATTTAGAAATCTGCTGGCCGGATCATCATGGTTGTGGCCTTGAGCGAATAGCCGGACCCCTTCCAGTAGTACCACTTGATCCCATTGAACTTATTTGTATTCTGCTTTTGTGGGTAGTACTGTCCATTCAAGTTGGAAGGACCGCACGCATCAAACCACCAGCCTGTGAAAATGAAACATAGAGGGAATTAGGAGTGGCAAAAGCCACATTGGTTTGCTCCTCCCAGGACACACACTTCACACCTGTGCAGTCACAGTTCCATCATGGTGTGTACAGTCACACGCTTTCTAGTTTCTTCTGTGCAGAGTCCTTGCAACATGGAGAAATGTGGGTCGGTGCTATGTGGAAAGCCTGCCATGTCTGTGTACATTGTAGGGTGAAGACATGGTGAGACTAGAAGTATATGTGTGTGTAGAAGTCATGACAGCAGGACAGGACAGATGATTACCACCCCCCTCTGTTAGATTGTTTTGGCTGAAATAGAAGCCATGTGCCCAGTGCTCCATGTAGCTGGGGAAAAAGAAACTTTAAGGCTAAGGTGGAACGCTAAGGGAGAGTCAGGCATAGCAAGGGCCTTCCTCATGGTAGCTCTGGATCCCACAAATAGGAGCGTGGAGGGTGGTAGGATTTGCCATATGAAGCAGTAACGTGGATGATGTTCTGGTCTGAATTTGTCTCTAAGCCTCATGTGGGGAAGACTGATTATGTGAGATTGTATGATAGCATTTATGCTTGTTTTTATGTACAGAAAACAATAACAAATGTTGTTAGTAAGGAATGTGGATGAAATACCAATTCAGAGGCTAGCACCTCAGGGCAAGTGGGACACAGTAGGGCAGCTTCTCTAAAAAAAAATAATAATTTTCCCCCACATGGAATGTAGCCATCTCCCTGGACATTGCTGCCCGGAGACCCTCCGGCTTGTGATTATGATAAGTGGGGGTATATAAGAAGATCCTGTGTTGTGCAAAACTTTGGGAGATGAAGAAGTGTCAGAAGTAACCGATCTGCCTTAACCTCCATACAGGCACCTTCCATGTCACTGCGCCTGCACACATCTCGCTCGTCCATAGGAGCGAGTGGCCCACAGCCATGTTCCATGGCTTGGAACATGGCCTCTTTCAGCCTAGACCTCCCCAGTCCTTCCCTGGCTGCTTGCCTCCTCCCCAGTCTCTCCCAACTTCATTCTCAGCCCCTAAATCTTGAACTAGGTAAATAAATAGATTGTGTCCTTGGTTATGAAGCAGTTCTCCTGCTCTCTGGAGTAGTAGCACACGGGTGGTCTGGAAACAGCCAGCCCCTCCAGGGAGGTCTTAGTGTGGGAATGGCAGGCAAGGCTTGGGGTTAGGTGTATTGCAGCCCCAGAACCCATCCCAATTGAAATTTGATTTTTAAAAAGGATTGTCACCATGAGATGAAAGTCTAGCCCCCTTTACACATTTTTTCCTTTGAATAATCACAATTAATGGGGCAACACACGCCACCAAGTGGCCACTCTGTTATCCCAAGAATGCCAGTATCTGCTGTATAGTGGGTCCTACTTCCGTGAAATTTCAAGTTCTGAGTTTCACTTTTGTCAATAAATCCTCTTAGTACTGTTGATGCAAGAGTTCTTGACAGAGGGGTACATGTGGTTCAAGCTTAGCTCTTTTACTTAGCAGTAACATATTTTTGTTTAATTAAATTTTATTTATTTACAGTGGGGTCATGCCGCAATATAGGTATGGAGATCAGAAAACAACTTGGGTGAATCAGTTCTCACCTTCCACCAGGAGGGACTCCAGGGATCAAACTCAGGTTGTCAGGCATGACATCAAGCACCTTTACCCACTGAGCCATCTCCCAGGTCTGAGCTAGGGTCTCTTACCAAACCTGGAACTCATGGATTCAGCTAGACTGACAGGCAAGCAAGCCCCAACACTGGGATTGCAGGAGAACGCCATATACTTAGCTTTTCCAGGAGTCCTGAAGACCTGAGCGCCAGTCTTCCTGTTTATGTGTCAGGTCCCTTGACCACCTAGCTGTTTCCCCTGCCCACTTACTGTTGTAATCATTTGCTATGTATAAGAATCTTGACTAGAAAGAGCTGAAAAGTCTTGGCTGGATGTTAAATTAAGCAGAAATGAAGTAAGATGGAGCTAATCAGTCCTTTTCATCTGGTCAATGAACAACCTCCAGAGAGCTTGCTAGATCTCGAATATCCACTTAATTTACCCGAGCTCATTCCTGAGAACACGCTGGCCTAGTGACAACTCCGGCTCCATGTCATGTTCTCCTGTCCAAAAGGAGGAGAAACCAATGTACCGGTATCCAGCTAGCATGTCTTCTCATGA